TTCCAAGAAAATTTTCCACAACTTTCACAAAAAAGCACCATGCATTACACTCAATTTCAGTCATCGATTCTGTGAAATGCGAATCTTTTATGAGTTGTCGTATCTGATGCCCATCAAATATTCCGGCTTTCAATTTTTCTTTTCTAAGTGCAGAAAGTTTGCTGGATAAGTATTCAAAACAAGAACGATTCTGGTCTATTTTTTCATCAGCCCTAGTTTAATATGTAACGTAGGTAATATTATTTTCTCTCGGTCGACCAATGGTTCGCTAGCTTCTCCTTGAACTAAATCATCTCTGGAACGCCATTTTCTTCTACTCCAGTGTTGGTCCTTAGCCCTGCTAGCCCAAAGACACAGGAAACAGGGAATTTTGTATAGCCACCTTGTTGTCCCAGGAGAAAGTTAACCATCTTAAAATCAACACAGATCGCCCACTCATGTTGGTCATAATTGATGTTTTTTAGCATCAGCGATATTGTTTTATATTATTCTTTCAGTTTTATAGAATGCCCAATTGGTATACTTCCATATTTGTTGTCATTATGTAGATTCCACATTGTGTCCTTCTACATTGTAGAAGGACACACTTTAAACTTCGTTTGGAACTGTCGATAAAAAGACGCCAATGATCTGGTGTATACTCCGATACACCCATTTTTTCTAACAGCCCTTTAATATTGTTACAAAAAACCATATCATGTTGCTGAGAAAAAAAAGGCGAAAGATATTTTTCTCTATTACGGTAGTATGTAACTTTGGTGTCTGGGTGAAGAAGTTTCTTTTTCTTTAGTCTGGAGGCAAGCAACTCAGAAGAATCCTTTGGACGGTTCATATCTCTAATAAGATCACTTAGCTCTTCCTTAGTAAAGCGCTTAGGACGTGTTATATCCCATTCAAAATCACTGTCGTCTTTCTCAAATCTATTAATCTATTAGTCTGTAGTTCGTCAGATAACGTTTGCTCTGGTACATTATCCTCTGGTAACGTAGGTAGGCTGCTAAATATTGGAATGGGTATCTGCTCAAGCTCATGTGGAATTGGTCTTATTGCTGAATCCAGGTTAGGATATCTCCACGTATATGTCGATTGTTTCAATTAATGCCCTTTATATTCACAAGACAGAAATAGCAATGGTCAAAATGATTTTTTCGTTCCCTCCATACCATTGGAACATCAAACTTTAAACATTTTCGTTGTCCTTTCGTATGGACCGGGAAGAATGTTGGATTGAAGAGAGAATGCGTAAGGATGATCTATGAAAGGGTGGCCAAACCTGCGGCACTGTATGGTGTACAAGTCTGGGGGGAAAGGGCGCATGACAGTAGGGTTAAGAGACAGCTGAGTGCGGCACAGAGGCCGTTTCTGTTGGCATCATGTGGAGCTTACAGAACGACGCCAACAGCAGCACTCAGTGTTATAACCGGAATGGCGCCACTTCAAATAGAAGGATGGGCCAGACATCATGAATGGAGAGCGAATGGAAGAATGAAGATAGAGGAAAGAGTGAAAGGTGAAGATAGAATTTTCCCCTNCATGTCCTTTCGTCCACTGCCGCAAGTTTTCAAGACAAGTTTTGCACACTACATGTGGAGCCCAGGATAGCCACCAAAATAGGCTTGATATGCCCTTTTTGTAAAATCACAAACTGGTTTCCTACTTTCCTTTACAATGTACTCGCCACATATGTAGCAAAAAACGTTCGGGTTCTTGACACAACAACGCCTGCTTGTAGAAGCCATGGATGTCAGTTGTCAAAAACAAACTCTTGCAACGAAACTCAAGTTCAGACTGAATTTTACAATGGAATGCAGTTGACTTTATACAAATTTATCAAGGCCATTTCCGAAAAAATACTGTTTACTTATCGGGCAACAGGTAAGAAGCAATTAGCGCTAATTTCATGTTATGGGCATTTCCAATAAGTACACTTTTATTACAAGTCATTAGTATGCATTTGTCTTAAAATTTGTTGAGTTTGTTTACTAACATATTGCAATTATTATAGTGGTGGAATATACAGAAATGTAAGAGTATTTAAGAATTTTGATGAGTATGCTAAATTTCGAAAACTAGAGCTGATACAAAGAAAAGGTTTGTATTTTTGGAATCGCCACAGATGAATTAACCAAAATCAGTTGATTTTTTCGGCAGCAAGATAAAAAATTTTTGGTGGGGTGCGTAATAAACATTATTATTATTATAGAGTAATTCATCATTCCTGTTTAAGGAAGCAATTGTATAGGAAAGCACGTGTCGCGGGTTTTGTAAAACATGTTGAAGTGAAAATCTCATACTAAAATCTATGATTGATCTTTGATTTTTATCAAGTTTTGGCCAGTTCTATCGAACAGCAGTTTAAAATGAATAACTGATTGAATAATTCGCGAGTTATTTCATTACCATCATACTGTACCTCTACTTTTGTTCTTCTTCAATGTCAGCAACTCTGCATTATGATTATAAATATTTTACTATCGAACAAAAATTGGGATCCAAGTATACCGAGGGGAGCCTTCTGCAAAAGTTCTTTCCACACCATTGATTATTAGCAACATCCTGTCACTTAGGTAAGATCCTTTCAAGTAAGGACGTAATGGTCTATTAAGAGATAACTCACAGAAATTAGTTGATAATGGGTTCACTGCATATGATTTGTCATGCAACCAAGTAGACTATGAGAATATAGAATGACTGAGTCATAACAATACAACAACACAGCGACTTTTAAGATAAGACAGTAATTGAAATGTGAAATCTTTCTCCAAAAATTACATGATAATAATGATAAATATGATTTTTTTCAAAATATAATAAATTCAGTTTTTTAATTGGTGTAGACTAAACATTATAAACAGTGTATATGCAAAATAAGTTTGAGCGAGTTGTAAGAGAAAGAAGACAAGTACTGAAAGTGATTTTTTAATAGTACATATGCTTGCGTAGTACAAGTTTTCTCTGTGAATTTAGTTAGATAGTTTATGGTAGTTTATGTGTAGTTTACGTATTTTTTTATGAACAATGACAAACTATTGTCATTCCAATGAACTGATGCTGAATGCATATAAAACAAAATATATATATTTCAATAAGAACAATCTGAACGATAGTGAAGTCCTTCAGACACATAACTCCACTAAGTTTCTGGGTGTAATTATTGATAAATCACTCTCATGATCTGAGCATATTGAAAGTATATCAAAAAAACTCTCCAAATCCTACTTCGCAATTGTGCAACTGAGGTATGAACTTCATGAGACTATTCTTGTCCAAGTTCTTGTATAGAACAGTGCTTTAAAAAATTGTTCTACAGCACCATCTAGTGTCGAGTTACAGAAAAATTGATAGCCTAAAACCTTCTCTATGAAAAATTACTTGCACATGTCAAGTTTTATTACGATCGGTTGGGCGATGTAGAAGCGACATCTGCCCGCGAATAGATCAAGCAATACTGTCGATAATTCTGTCAAATACAGATCTCGAGCTTGAGAGTTACAAACAAACAAACATACATACATACAGGTGAAACTAATATAAAGTGTGTAATATTTTACGCTTGAGTAAAAAGCTGTCAGTAAAATGTTCTACAATTCCCTTCAACTTTAATTGGACATTATGATTCAGCTATATCTACACGCAACAATTTGTCAGGCGTCCAGAAATTGTTTCGAAAGCATTGCAATATTACAATCATTTTTGGTGTAAATGATGACATTATTACATTAACCCAACAAATCGATCGTCTACAAAATTAGTAACAAGACACAATGGTTTTGTTTGAAATCGCACCTTCTATAATAATAAAAGTTGACTCGAAAACCGTAGGTATTTTCATATAGGTCAAACAATTGAAATAATTACACAAGGTATGAGGAGTGACAACCTCATTACTCATTATTATTATTATTCAAGTTGGTATTTTTTTTTCAAATGCTATCAACATTATTACAATATTGTAAAAAACAATGAAATGAAAAATTAAAAAGAAATGAACAAAAAGTTCAATGTGATTACACTTTCATAGAACTGTGTATAGCAGAGTTGAAAATCGATGTTTATGTGTGATAAAACATTGAATTAAGGTGATTGGGAGTATTAAATATTGGTGCTATTCAGTTCATCACACTCATATTCCACAATGTCTAAGTTAAAAATTCTCCACAACTTTTAGAATGAAAATTTTAGTGGTATCGGTGGGATTCAGCTATGAAACTACTGAAAGGTATTGTATAGCGAAACACATGTCAGGGTTTTGTAAACTGTCTAAGTGTTACTTGAATGAGTTCATTGCAGAATAGCAATCCAAAATTTTGTTACTATTTTTCAATGAATTCCCAATCTTTAATGTACATTTTTCAGATATAAAGAAGTAGAGAACGAATAAGCGTTAAATGTATGGATTTGAGGAATTTTGTCATGCCTCATATGAGATTGAAATAATTCACCCTGAAGAAATAAATCATTTACTATGGACCTTTTTCGAATTTTCATTCTCATTACTCGTATTTTCAGCAAAGCATTGATCGTGACAAAAATGCATATATTTGGTTTCAATGGAATTCAACCTCCGTGGTGATATTACAAACCAAGCGAGTTCTCCGAGATTCAAACTTTGTGAAATGTTTCAATCTGGGAATTTTTATGGTCCGCATTTCTTCAAACCAGAGTTGATGGCAGATTATAAAGGACTTATGAATAGTAATGAACCCTGAAATATTGCTGCTCTCACTACTGCATACAAATGGGAGTGAAAATTATAATAATAGCATTGTAAGTGATATACATGTTCTCTCTCTCTCTCTCTGTATTTTCAATGGCCGTTAAGGCGGATTTCCACCAAACGAAGTCGCTTGCGACTAGTTTCGTTTTCAAAAATAGAAGCAGCCTGAGTCACGTGTTTTGTTGTGAAATGTTTTTTGTCATTTCTACTACACAAAGTTTCAATCATGACTTCTCAAGAGTCTCTAGACAATGTTTTTATAATGCCCTGTGTTTTTTATAATCGAATATTCTGATCGAAAGGAGCGGAAGCCAAAAAAATCAAAATAGTGGATGAGATCATTGTCGAGAAGACGAGATACTTATGAAACGAATGAAATTATTCATAACATAGGAAAGAATGGAGAACTGAGATCGTCGTAATTTATAGCCACCACAGATTAACACTAACAATAAAGTAAAAATGAAGTCACACACCAAAAGAGAATAGTGAACTGAATAGTTGAATAGAACTGGCCGATACTTAAAGAAATTCTATATTAAAAAACTAATCAATACAGTTTATTGTATGATTTTAATTGTATCTATATATATTGTTCATAATAAAACTTCCTTGAAAATTGAATAATTATGTTTTGTTTATTGCTATTTGGTCGAAAAAAATCGTGTTGGAATTACGTTTAACACTAGTGTGTATTTTTAAAACGCTACTTTATAAACATCATCTTTTATTACTCTTGACAACCATAAGAAATGTCACTTTTAATGACTGTTGCACAAAAACTTGTTTATTCATCTATTTTGTGCATTGACTTCAATAAATACCACCTTATGTCGAATTATATTTCAGCGACTTTCAAAGAGAGCAAGAAAAAAGGTCGAGTACCGATGAAAACTAACAGTTGGGCTAAAAAGAAAAAGAATAGATGTAATTTGTTTTTATTATTCGATATAGTTGCCTTTGAGGGTGATGAAACAAGCATAGCGGTCGTACAATTTTTCGATAAATTTATTTTTAGTCCGATTTATCTTTATTATCCTCAAAATAGGCCTCAGTTTCGACAATTATTTCTTCATCGGGGATAGATTTCTTTCCAACGAGCATCCTTTTGAAGTCTGAGAACAGAAAAAAGTTGCTGGGCGCCAGATCTGGAGAACATGGTGGATGCGGAAGCAATTCAAGTACTTTTGCCATTTCTCATTGATTTGCATTGGTTTGATGAAACGGCACTGTTTTTCTTCAACTGGAGCCATTTTTGGCGATTTCGCAGCAACTTCACATACTTCACAGACTATTGAATATTCTACCGTCTGAAAGTGATTTCCAGAGAGAGCTGAGTTTGATCAATCAAATCGCGGTCAACAACGGTTATAAGGTAGATATTATATCCTATATAAAACATCGGACATGACCCACACGATAATTTATACACTCCTGATTTTTCTGAAACTGAACTTTTATCTTTGTTATTTTTAATGTGCATACCCAAGTTGTTGTTGGTTTTGAAAGCAGTATTTACATCTTTGTAAAGTTTTTGTCCAATAGATTCTCCACCAAAGTAATCGTTTCATTCGGAGGGATACTGGGAAACAGATTCTCTACATCGAATGAAATCAATTTGGCATTATCCGGGAGTGTAATATTTTGAATTTCATTGATCAAATGGTACGAATTCCTCAAACTGAATTTTGATTTGAAATTGGTGTGGTTTTGAATAATTGCAATGAGTTGCAATTATTGCAAGGAGCTGTGACGAAAGAAACTACCGGTCCAGTCGGGTAGTTATCTTTGTGTAGTTTAATCAATGAATACAATTTAGATGGTTGTGGGTTCATGACTAACGATCGGAATTTTTCCTTTTCATCCATGACACAATGAATATTTTTCAAAGTTTCCTTGACTTCTTTCTGGTATAAATAGGTGGGGCCATTACTGAGACCATCGTACATGCCAGCATTTAGAAAGTCTACAGTCTTCCCCACGTATTCTCTTTGTGAATTTCACTAATTTCAATTCCGGATTGAACCTACCTTTATGCATCTTTTCAGATTTTAAAATTTCTGCAGCGATATGTTTATTGGCGTAGCATGTCCCCATCAACGCGATATCTGTATCAATTCCCAAAACTTCTAAATTTGTCGAATTTGTAATTGAGACCTTTTTCTAATAGACCTAATACAGTTTCCGGTTCTGTGAAACTGGTGTTCGTGAGATTGACAAATTTGTCAAAGAACTTATGTTGTGAAAATAGTTCACTGTCTTTGGCCTTTTTTTTTCTTCCGTGAATTGCTCCGAATTGAAACATCTAATTTCTTTCTCATCTGTGTTGAAAACTTCTTATTTATAACACCATTAACTTTATCACGAAGATCCGAGTCTAGGACTTGACATTCAATGTAGTGGAGTTTACACAAAAGTTGTGTATGTATCACTTTAAGATAGATGTTGGCAACGTCTCTGAATAGTTGCTTGTTGTTGTCGCCGTCCGTTTCTACATAGCGAACTCTGTTTACAAAAGCACAGACCAAACATGGAAACCTTTTGAACTTTATGTCTGCCGACGGAACAATTCGTTGCTCCGTCGGACGGACAAAAACAGTCGTTCGCCACACATTTGCTGTTTTGTTGTCGTTTTGTCCGTTGGGTGGAAATCCGCCTTTACTCTCCTTTCGAGCGTATTTGGCCAGTCTCTTCTGTCAATACTTGACAGCAGCTTCGTAGGGGGGCACAGTGATCTTGTGTTTGAAGTAATGCTGCCACCGTTAATTCTGTGATTTTTTCTTTGGAAAAAAAAACAAAACACATCATTTTTTACTGTCGCCTCTTTCACGAGAGNAACCACCGTCAAACAAACGTTCTATCCATTTTAATCCATTTTATCTCCTATCCATTTTAATTTCATTTGTTCTTCCATAGATTTCTGATCATATTAGAATCATATTAGATAATGGAAGTCCGAACTAGAATAATTCACCATGAAACATTGTAAACCTCCTTCAAACAATCCCTTTACGTGTTTATCCGAACCACCCCTGCCTGAATACCGGCGTGAATAAAGGAGTTACTCCACATCTCAATACACTTTTCAGATCTCGTTTATTTTTGTAAAATGGACAATCACATCACATAGAGAAGCTCCGTACGTGGATGTCATGTGCTATATGGCATCCACGTACCTTCTTTGTGGCCGGACGTTACCGGCAAGTCCGTCTACTACCACGGCCAATACGGAATACCTAATATACATGTTATATGCCAATTGAGTGAATTTTAACATGCGTTTAATGACAACTTTAATAAAATCTTGTCGTGAGTAATTTTCATTGAGTGCCGGACAAAATTAGCTCCTTCCCCTCACTAGGAGTAAGGGTTTCATTCACTAAGTTTCAGCGAAAGTGGAATGTCTACAATTTTTTTTTACTGTCCCGTGAGTGGATTTTCAGTATACCTACATATGTTTCCCACTTAGTGTGGGTCCCCTTCACAATACGTCTAAGAGAGAAGGGAATCCACAACGAGTGCCATTCTCAGACGTATTAGTGAAGTGATCGGGGTAGCGTCCTCGGCGATGACACTTCATTGCTTAGACCGCCCTTCTACTCTCGCGCATTGTCCCCCGTCGTCTTACAGTAGACGCGACGCGTAATGGCTTACTGCGTTGCGTCAAGTTGATCTCATTGTGATAACTTTTAAACCATTCATCCAAATTACTTACTGTAAAAGACAAAGTTTATCTATATTAAATACTCAAAACGACAATTGTATCAATTTGTATAAGAATTTGACAGATATTTCTAAAATGTGCATTGTAATAAATATAGTCTAAAAAACTAAAAACACGTTTTTAAAGAACATCAAACTAAAAAGTTGAAAATAATGTTTTTAAATAAACTTAAGANGCCCCATAACTGGGGTAAGATGGGAAACGCTGTGGGGCAAAACGAGTACGCTTTTTAATCGGGTAGACAGCGTTCACAAATGTGTGCCTCTTCATCTTCCTCATCTACTCCGGCACATGAATTATGCGCCCAACCGTGGCACACGCCGCAGATGACCCAACCTTCGGTTGAATCTGAGTATAAGTACCCACAATAGATGCAAGCACAGTCATCATCCTCTTCTTGGGATGAACTATCTTCCGATTCAGTTTCTTTTTTGCACCTTTTGGTTTGACGCTTTTTCTGCAGGTTTTCCTTGTCAGTTGTCTTTTTAATCTTCTTTGCAGTCTTTTTTCCAGGTTTCTTTATTTGTTTTTCACCTTTTTCAGTCACTTGATTATCAGTATATAGAAAATGTTATTTTAATCACAAGGGTGGGGCAAAACGGGATAGTATCCCATTATGGCCCGATCATCTTGCCCCGATCCACACGTAGGTAAAAAAGATGAAGCAGTTCTAACCTCAAACTTTACCGGCGAAAAAATCTGGTTTGAATTTAATGTTTTGGACTACTATAATAAGCTCGGGATTGAAATAATACATTAACACAGGTACTTACATGTCTGTACATCAGTTTTCGAATCAAATATCGCGGAAAAACACTTGCAATATCATTTTTTTCTCTCTGCAACGCAAAAATGAGTTCTAACCTGTTCGCTCTGCTTGGACACACTAGCGGAGAGTGAAGTTCGTGCAAATGGCACTGTCGCCGCTCCGAACACGATTACCATTCACGCACACAAGCTTACTTCCTGTGCTGCCCCGAACTTCATCTTGCCCCGGTCTCCCCTAAGCTGTATTTATGTGAAGTTTCATCTGACTGCGTTCAATCGTTTCGGCGTGAAAGAGCATCAAACATACATACATACATTTATCCATCCTCACAAACTTTCACATTCATAATATCAGTATATATTTTAACAATTGATAAGAGATTTTTGTAATTAATGGACTTGACTGACTGGCCTGTACATACGAAACTCATGTTATTATTTTTTTCAGATGGTGTCAACGGAACAAGAGATTCTCGTCGAAATGGGTGTTGGATAGAAGCCTAGGTCAAAACTCTGTTAGGGAAATGCATGGATAGTCTCACATGTAACACAAAGACCAAAGTCAAACAATGAACTTCACTACAGTATCCCCGACACATGAATATCAACAGAAGGAACTGAATCTGGTGTACGCAGTTTGTGAAATTCTAGTGGCGGTTTTCGCGGTCTTCGGAAATGCCCTCGTCATTTTCGTATTCGCAAAAGAAAGGCGCTTGAGGCGAAGAACCAACTATTACATCGTGTCTCTCGCAGCTGCAGACTTTTTAGTGGGGTGTTTGGGGATTCCTTTCGCTCTTTTATCTTCCATTGGGAAACCCCATAATTTGCACGCTTGCTTGTTTACAGTTTCACTTTTGATAGTGCTGTGTACTATCTCGATATTTTGTCTTGTCGCCGTATCTGTGGATCGATACTGGGCCATTCTCTACCCACTTGGCTATTCAAGGAATGTCAGGACGAAAACAGCATTAGGTGAGTTGAAACTTTCTTGTACAGCTGTTGGACGCATAGAAGAAATGAAAATTTGAATATCCAGACTTCATACGGCGAAATTCAATTCCTCATATACTTTTTCATGATTTTATAGCTTTTTATGATATGCGTGTACAAAATTTCGCTAACACTTATAATTCTTAAAATATGTTTTTTATTTTGATTTTCTTTTGAACAACCTACCAAATAGGTTACGTACCATCTGCCCGCGAATAGATCAAGAAATATCCATGAGGTTACGTAGAGCGCCATCTGCCCGCGAATAGATCAAGCAATAATGCTAATAATTCTGTCAATACAGATCTCGAGCTTGAGAGTTACAAATATTCATACATACAGTCATACATACATACAAACATACAGGTGAAGCTAATATAAAGCGTGTAAAAAAGTATCCAATTTAATTGTATTTATGACTCATTATTTTGCATATAGTGGCTACCACATAAGAGGTAGATATATGCGTTTAACTCCAACGGTATAGGCGGCTTGCTCTGAGGGAGCAAGAACTTTTAGACTTACTTATACTTTTCGTTATATCATGACTAAAATTACAAAAAAAACCTGTGTAAATTGTAGCCTAAATGTTATTCTGATATATAGGGGAGACTGGGGCAAGATGAGATAGCTAAGACAAAACTTGTTTTATAAGGAAAATTAAACTCTTTAATAACATTCTTTAACAAAAGAGGTAACCATTATACATTTCTCTCTTATAGTTAAACGTTGTAGCATGCAAAATCACAGAACTTTTTTTGGCAAATAATAAAAAAATAAACTTGGCAAATTTACCGTTTTGCCCCATAACTGGGGTAAGATGGGAAACGCTGTGGGGCAAAACGAGTACGCTTTTTAATCGGGTAGACAGCGTTCACAAATGTGTGCCTCTTCATCTTCCTCATCTTCTCCGGCACATGAATTATG